GTGTCAATGGCCGAGGAAATCGATTGGATCAATTGAATTGTCCAACCGATGTGTTGATCGACAAAGAGACGGATAGTCTCATTATTTGTGATCGAGAGAATCGACGAGTCGTACGATGGTCTCGTCGTAGTGGTACAACTCAAGGAGAAATCCTCATCGACAACATCCGTTGTTGGGGATTCGCCATGGATGGTCAGAGATATCTCTACATCTCTGACACCGACGAACATGAAGTAAGACGATATCAAATAGGAGACAAGAATGGAACTCTTGTGGCTGGTGGCAATGGCAAAGGTGTTGGTCTCAATCAACTCAACTGTCCGTACTACATCTTTGTCGATCAACAACAGACTGTCTACGTGTCAGATTGGAACAATCATCGTGTAATGAAATGGAATAAAGGTGCAAAAGAAGGAATTATCGTCGCTGGAGGTCAAGGCCAAGGGAATGCTCTGACACAATTGTCGTGTCCTCAAGGACTATTCGTCGATACATTGGGTACTATCTATGTAGCAGACTCGGTGAATGATAGAGTGATGCGTTGGCTTAAAGGAGCGAAACAGGGCACTGTCATTGTGGGTGGAAATGGTCAAGGAGCAGGAGCAAATCAGTTCAACTGTTCCTGGGGTTTGTCCTTCGATCGACATGGCAATCTCTATGTCGGCGATTGGGACAATCATCGTGTTCAACGCTTTTCAAACGAATAGACTCATCGTGATAGATTTTTTTTTCTTTCCTTTCGTTTCAAATAAATCGCATTGAATTGATGAAATGAATGGCTTATTCTATTCGCGCGCGCGACCAGGAACCATCCTGGTGGAGCCGTGGCGAGCGTAACGCTCATGCACGCACAGGACAGACTCATATCATTCATACCCTCCCCGTGAGAGGTATGCCAATGAGTCTGAATAAGCCTGGTCGTGTGCCACGGACACCAAGACGATTCCTGGTCGAGCTTTTAGGGACTGCCCGGAAGTCCTGTAAATAAGAAGAACCTAACCTCAACGAACATAACTCACCCCTCCCCCACTAACACTCACTTTTCTTAGTCTCACCCTAACCTCTCAATCTCACTACCTATTCTCATCTCGAACATAAAAAAAAATGACTTACCATGTCTGATGTTGATGACACGGTGATATTGATAGCTGAAAGGAATAGAAAAAAAATTTAATCAATGTTTTTTAATGAAATAGAATGAGATGACTTACTGTAATGTTATCTTATTCTTCATTGTTTATTCCCTAAAATAAAATAAAACAATAATAAAAAGATCAAAGGAGGCCTTACCCCACCATCCTTATGATCGTAAAATAAAAAAAAAGTAAAACTAATACCTAGATTTTATTTTATTGTCTGGTTTGTTGTTGAATTGTTTCATGTTGTTTGATTGAAGCCAATCTAAAACAGAAAAAGAAAAATTATTATTATTTGATTCAAAAATTTGAATGATTTACATAAGAAATCATTCCTATATATACCTTGAAAAATCATTTTTTTCTCTCGTCGAGAATGATATACATATTTAGTTGTACATGTTGATCATTGATCGTCAATGATGACAACATGAACAATGATTTATGGACGAGAGAAAAACAAAAAAGAAAAAAAAAATTCCACTCTTCACATATATTTCTTTTTTCTTTCCTTTCTCTCTTGTTAACATTAATATACATAATGATTTATTTATGAATTTTTTAAATTGTATCTCACTTGGAATGAAAATGAAATTGTTTTGTTTATTTTTATTAATGATAATCAATAACAACATTTATGTACAATTATTTTATTTGTTATGATAATATACAAAATATATTACATCAGACGAACTATTACTTAAGTAGACATACTTAATGTTAAAAAAGTTGATTCAATTTCATAGACTGTTGAAAAAAACAAAACAATGAAAGTTTTTAAGCACTTAAATTTTCACAATAATATTCTTTTTGGATGAACATATCTAAATATCAACAAAATTTTAGATCAAAATAATCCATTACAGAAGTTTGAAAAAATCTTTCTTTGTTAGGTGGATTTATCACAACAGAAAAGAATGAAATAAGATATATTCTTTTGAATAAAAATTTATTTATATCAACATATCTATTCTATACACATCAAGATCAACAATTTGTTATTCATGTACAAGTATGTATTAATCAATAAAGCAAAAAGATTAAAAAATGTATATATAATAACGTTTTTAGTGATTTGGAGAATTTTATGTTTAATGAATAATGTTGATAAATCCATGTGTACAATTAATTTAACTAATAATTAAACAACAACATCGTCAGATTTCTTCATTATTATTATTTTCATTATCAACATATGATTAATAGTCCATTACTTGATTTATTATTCAATACAACTATTAAAACAAAAATATGAATTAATACTATACCAAATTCGGAAACATTTTAATATTAATAAACATGAGTATGTATTAGATGACAATATTGTTATAAAGAACAAAAGATTAACATATATAATTAGTATTTAATTGGAATGGAATATAAGAGAAATCGAATGAAAATTAATATTAATTTTACAATATTATTAAATATTATTCAAGTAAGATAACTATTCAATGAAATATATTTTACTAGTTAAAAAAAAATTATAGCGTCTGTTGAGTTACTTGTGAAAATATCCTGTTGTTAATAGATTCGACCAATGTTATTATCGCAAAAACCATATTTGCAAAAAAAAGCATCATAAAATGATTAAGTACCAACAGACTCGATATTTTTCCAAGATTTTTACTGGTCATATACTTAAGAAAAAAACTATGTATACTTTTTCTATAAACATTATTTGATTGTTCGATACGATAGCAAAGTCTGAATACAAACTCGCTTCTCAGCAATTAAACAATAGTTTTCAAAAAGAAAGCATAAATCTTTTTCTGCTTGTTTATCAGTCGAATAAAATCATTAGAAAAAAATTATCGAGTGTAACGAGATTTGATACCTTTGACGTATTTCAATTTTCATAGACTATTATGGAATTCTTCTCGTACTAAACCAGGATTGCCAGATCGAAATGTTTTAACCAAAATTCGAAAAAATTCGGAATTTTTTTATATTCTACTTCGGAAAAAGTTCGGAAACTAGTTGTTTTACTATCAAATATATATACCACCTTTTTTATGGACATATATGTTGCTCTATCAACATTTTGTGCAAAAATTATTGCCGACATACTTATTTCTTTCTTCAATCTCACTTAAATTCACATCTGAATCATCATCTTCATCATTCATGGCTAAATTTAATTCAGGATAACAAGAGACAATTTTCATGTAAAAAAACACTTTTCTAAACTTAAAGTTTAGTCCATGTCAAAGAAGTTATTGATTCAAATGACATTTTTTTTAAACAATACAAAGTATTCATTGAGTTCGGATAGATTTTAAATTCAGACGATCTTACATTATAAGTAGTCTCAAAATTATATTATATAATGATTACAGTAGAACAACGACAGGGCATGAATTGCTAATGAAAGTTAAATTAGAAGTTATAACCAAAGTCATTAAATCTCGAATCTAGAGAAATAACAGGTCTCGAAAAAATATTCAAAATTCGGAAGATCTGGCAGCCCCGTACTGAGCAAATCATTCATATTGTACAGTAACGTGCGACATAGGTCAAAATTCTTGTGATCCGATTGGAGTCGGACACTTATTGGATTTTAATTGCAACAGTGATGGACTAGTTTAATTTTCTTGTATTGCATTAACTCATCTATACAGATCGTTACTTTCATTTTCGAATGAACTATTTTTTTGTAATCAATTCCAATATTATTTTTAATATAACTTTTATTTTTTTCTAATAGATGTTAGAAAATTTTATGCCAAAACAATGGAAGCGATTCATACATTAGATTAAAAAAAAAGAATCTTCGTTTCTATGCTTATCTTAATGTAATTTTATTTCATTGAATAGATAATGTAAAAAATAAAAATTATTTCGAATAGATTCGTGAACATAACATTGAATTAGGTGAACAATATTGAGCTGTATTTAATGATACGACTTATTCAAAGTTTACTTGAATATACATCAATAAAACATATTGATTATCAATTATTAATTGATTCATTGGGTGAATTACGTGAAATAGCAAAAAAAAAATTAAATGAACAAAGTAGAAAAACGGAAAAACATTTATCAATGTTTAATATTGTTCATATTATTGATAATTGTCGAGTAAGAAAACGATTCCGACAGTATTAAGTATGTTTTATTGTCGTTAAATTTTAGTCAGAGTTTCTTGCTGCATATGATGATTTTATAGAAAAATTTTAAGTTATCATCATATTTTCATTAGAATTTATTTCATATTTCTCAAGGCATTCTGATGGTGATCGTTTATGAATGAGTCATTATAGACTTTTATCTTAAGAGTGGCAACTATGAAAGATCAGACCTGCATCCAACTAGCTCTATCGGGAACTACGAGAAAAGTAGTTGTCCCAACTGCAACTGAAAATTATAATTAAATATTCTATGGCTTTAAGTGTATAAGTAAAAACATGAATATTGAAAACCTTTTTAGATGTGATAAGAGTCAATTCTGAAATAGTTTTCTCTAGACGGAAACACACCCTCGTATCCTTTTTGAGTGATGATGAAGAAAACTCACTTAAAAGAAGTATAGAGACTCGAGTATGGAAAAATATGAAACTCATAGTAATTTTAAAAGCTAAAAAACGGGTAAAATCTAAATTCTCACGCATTTCTTATGGTCTAGTAAAATTTTTTCACCTCAGGTATTTTGTATGAATATAATGAGAGTAAAAATATGTGGGTTCTATATTTTAGTTCTTAACAAGTTGTATTGACCCAATCTCTATTTTTATTTTATAAAATTTTTCTTATTAAAGAAACTGAAAAATTCAGAATACTTTGTTCAATTGAAGGTCAAACATGTCAGTATATATTTCGTGTTATTAATGAAAATACAAATACTAGTAGTCATAGTTCTAAATCTTATTTTACTGATTCAATGTCTTCACTATTATCGATTTCAATATTATCGAATAGTACGCATCATCATGGAAATAATAGAACTTGTGTACTTTAGCAGTTAGCTAAAGCGATTCCCGTAATGTAAAATTTTTATTTTAGTCTTCATTAATTCAAACATCACTTGAAAATTTAAACATTGGTTCAGATTTATGTGCAATTAATTGTCTAAATTTATTAGACTTCGCATTTAAACGGTTTGAAAATTTCCATTTTTTTTAAAATTAATTAATATTGAATAAATATATATATATGTTGAAATTTTAGTGGTTTTCATAAAGCGAAGAAACGATTAAGTCTAGCTATTTCATTCAGTCCATGATTCAAGTAAATGGATGAGTATATCATTAAGACAAGTAAGTATTTCAAATGAGAATTTCTTATAATTAAAGTAAAACAATCAGAAAATTTCGACTCATTTAACAACTGATAAAGGAATCGGAAATGCGTGTGCTCCCTAAAGTTCTGGTCTACCAGTGAAACTCATCGTGATATCTCATTAGTATCAGAAATAGCCAGAAGAAAAGATACCGTGCCAGCAACTAGTGTTTTGATAGAAAGATTATTTAGCTCAGCTAGAGTGACATTTACTCAATGACGAATACGTTTATGATCAAGTCAAAATTTTCAAATATATTATTTATTCGTTCTTGTTGTCTACCTGTTAATATTGATTACATTTTGAATAATGAATATTTTAAGTTTTTGTTTTATTCAGCTTGTGAAATAGTATGGTGGTCGAATATTCTGATTGGTTTTTTTGTCGTTGTTTTGACTTTAGTGATATATTAAATCATGAGAAAAACGAACGAAATAAGAACCATCGTTTGGTTCAATGAGCGTAGCTACGAGGAAAATAAAAGTGACTTCTACTGAATTACTTTTAAAGTAATTTAAAACTAGCTTTATTGGAGCCCAAAAGGAAATTTAATAAAAGAACAATTCAATAATTATTTCTAAAGTCATCATGATAACATAGGATACAAAAGCTTTGACACTAATTATTTCTTGATGTAGTGGTGAGTTAAGCTTGCATTAATTGATGTTTGCGCGAAACAAAATCAATATCTTCATCATTCATAATTTGTTTAAATTGATGATGCAATAGATTTTCAGTCTTTTTTCTGCTATGTAAATATATAATTAGATAAGAAGTTCTGTCTAACTAACTTCATGCTATAAAGTTAGGTTTTGAGTTGAAAAAGGAAAAAAATGAGCTGAATAAAATTTTTGTATCGATTTCAGTTCGGAGTTGTTTCAAGCATCTACTTCTATTATGGAATGTTTAAATTAGAAATAACTCATGAACAAATATTTTCGAAATTTATTGCTTTCCCTAATAAATATCTAAAGCTGGAAGGAATATTTTATTATAACTCTTTACAATAGAAGTCATGCTGAAATAAATACCTGTATCAGAAAAATTAGTATAAACAATCTGTGAGAATCTTTCTTCTTCCTAGAATGTCATTTGCATGCCAAATTTAGTATAATAGTTTTGGCACAAGAAAGTACTTGGTACTTATCTCAACAAAAATCTTAGTATTCTTCGAGAAAAGAACTTCAAATGTTTTGCTATTCTCGAAGAAACGCGAAACTTTTTCCTCATTTTGAACAGTCGCAATCTGCAAAAGCAGTATATAAAAAGATGTTCAATATAATTCTTCAATAACGTGGATCACCGAACATTATTCAAGACATTATCAAAGTTTTTCTTACTTTTTAGTTTAGAAATTAAAAAGACAAGATCAATTTTTAAATAAAATCTTATCAAAAACTTTTACCATCTATCGAAGGACAAACATCAGATGAGAATAAGAAAAGTTGACTATCGAAGTATTGTTATTCCAAACCTTCGTTCTCCACATATCGAAATTTTACTGAATCTTTCAGCATATAAACATATAGTCCGTCTCAAATCATCTAGAAAATAGAATTTCGACTTTAAACTTTGCGTGAACAAAATTCTTAACGAGATTCGTTAATATGGAAAATATCGAATATTCAATATTTCAGGATAGGAAAAAAAGAACTAGAAAAGTTACAACTTGTCCCAAGAATTAATTTCATGTTCATGCAAAATTTGAATTCGAAAGTCGATTTTTCATGTGACCTGAGTAGGACTACAGATTTCTGTTGAAAAATAAAGAAAGCCCGGAAAGCAAAACCATTCTAAACTTTTCTATTACTCATTGAATGAACATCATCTCACTCGAAAAACATATTGTTGTTTCAAGTTGAATTTTTATTCGTTCTATTTTGACTGATATGATCTATTTGCCAAAAGAATTTAACAATATTATTTCAATTTCGACTTCTTTTATCTCTTTTTTTTAGGATTCATTTACGAAAGCTGTTCATCATTTGGATTCGTCGTCATTTATACAATCCATTCAAGAACGTAAGTTCGTTGAAAATTATCTTTAAGTCTTTTATTTGATTTCTATACTTTTACCATGAATGTATAAACTGATAAAGAAATGGCTATCTTTGTTTTCTCAAAACAGAAAACTTGATATGTTATCATCCTTTTTTGTTTCTTGTCGATGATTAATCTACTTTTCAGAATAATCTTCTAGAATACTATTTTTGTTCGCAGTATTTTTTTTTCTTTGTGTAATGATCAGGTGTGATGCAAAATAAGAACTGATAATTGAAAGAAGAAAACAATGCATTTTTATGACAAATGAATGACTCATCTTTTATAGTATATGAAAAACGTTAGACTACTGTAGAAGTATCCGTTGAAGAAATCGATTTTAATCGATCGTCAGAAGAAGTTGAGAAAGCTTTGAATCAATGATCAAAGACACTATCGATACTCAATGAATCAAAATCGAATGAAAACATGTAAGAAATGATTCATCTCTTGTTGAAATATAAAACATTTGTGTAACTGAAACAATTTTCTATAAATAGTAGTAGGTTCAAAGACTTCAACAGAACTGCTTGTATTAAAATCTTCAGAAAACATTTTATTTGATTGAGCAAAATAGGGTGTCATCAATTTCTCCATGTACTTCCTTCATCGACTTGTTTTCGATTTACTGAGAGCCTGAAAGACAGTTCGATGAAGGAAGTTCATGAAGAGGTCGGAGACATCTCATTTTGCTCTATCCAATAAAAATTTCTCTCAAAACCTTTGAACAGATACGAGAAATTTGGTTTTGACTGTCTTGATTTTCCGTAAGTCCTCATTCGAGTGATTATGTTGAGACCGTCGCGCCTACTAATCCTGATGAAGAAGGCTTTTAGCTGCACAAATGTGTTTTTAAGATATAGCTGCTATAAACTTACTCGTCTTGTGATAAATATTTTGATTTATATAAAAAAATTTATAGATGGCTTCACTAATAACGTTGAACAATTATATTGTGATACTTGTCAACGGTACAGAACTTGTTTGCATATTTTTTTTTCTAATTCTTTATACATTCATGTATTTGAAGTTTTCTGACAGATCGTTATATAGCTGGTACATGTCCAGATGCAGCATACAAATTTGATGACATTCATAGTGATCAACGTGATAGTGTGAAAAATTAATTAATGATGTTGAACGCATTGATCCAAAATGTCAAATTTATTATAGTACACTACCAATTAGAAAATTGGCAATTTACATATGATTAGAATTTCTTTACCAAGTTAAGATTGATTTTTTTTGTCAGACTTCTCGAAATTGATCAGTCTATGATCAATTGATCCTATTCTTCAATAATTTATCCAAGACTACATAGTATAGAGGAGAATGGTGTCTAGATTCGAACCTACTAGCTCTCACATACATGATGACATTCATAGTCATTCATCCATGGTGGCTATTCTAGACGTAAGCAGTACCATGTCTAGACTCCTCCTGTAGAGATAATCCATCTCACTTTACTGCATTTTCAATTATTAAATATTTGAATTTTCAAACTCAACGGGGAAAAAAACAAGATTCTCTTCATTCTTACTTGGATGTCATAATAATCTGTAGTTTTAATGACAGGACCGTATGGTATGGTTTCTTTAGATCTATTTTGTTAGACTTAATAGATTTTCATCAGAAAAATCACAACTAGCTGCAAATTCTGGATGTTCGGAATTAATATTTTGAACAATTGGTTTTGGACGGTGCCAAAATTATAAATACTAAAAATTGTTCAGTATTATATTTCGATCATTCTAGATAAAATAATAATAAATTTCAAAAATAAAAACCTATTTGAACTATTTTAAACATGAATTCGGTTAATCTTTTTGAGTAGTCATTCTAATTTATCAATCATATTTTGATCACTTCGATTAAAATCTTCTTTGTTTAACATTGATTGTAAGCCAGTTCATTTAGTAAGTTCACAAAGTTCTTTTATAAGTAAATGATATTTGCATTGGTCCACGTTGACTAACAAGTATCACATGTCGTATTCAACGTTGACGAAGTGTATCAAGCACTACAACATCAGTAGCATGTGTTTTAGCTGAATCATCAATAGATGAAAACATGAATTTTGAGTACAATCAAGTTGTCATTGAAGTTGAATATTTTCTGATACATCTATTTGAAATTGTTTTCTTTTT